AAAAGATTGAAATTGTATAAACCAGCTTCTCAGATCACAAAGGTATGAAACTAGAAATAAATAACAACAATAACAAAAAAGAAAAAGCCCACATTCACATGGAGGCTTAATAACATGCTCCTAAATAATCAATGGATCAATGACCAAATAAAAGCAGAGATCAAGCAATATATGGAGACAAATGACAACAATAATTCAACAATGCAAAAATCTGAGGGACACAGTGAAGGCTGTGCTGAGAGGGAAGTATTCTGCATTACAGGCCTACTTCAGGAAAGAACACTGCCAGATGAACAGTCTAAACTCACAATTAATGAAACTTGAAAAAGAAAAACAAATGAGGCCACAAAGTCAGTAGAATGAGGGATATATAAAGATTAGAGCAGAAATTAACAAAATTGGGAAGAAAAAAATAATAGAAAGAATCAATGAAAGCAGAAGCTGGTTCTTCAAGAAAATAAACAAAATAGATAAGCCCCTAGCCAGACTTATCAAGGAAAAAAGAGAGTCTACACACATCAACAGAATCAGAAATGAGAAAGGAAAAATAACTACGGACACCATAGAAATACAAAGAATTATGAGAGAATGCTATGAAAAATCATATGCTAATGAACTGGATAACCTAGAAGAAATGGACAACTTTCTAGAAAAATACAACCTTCCAAGGCTGACCCAGGAAGAAATAGAAAATCTGAATAGACCAATTAACAGCAAGGAAATTGAATTGGTAATCAAAAAACTATCTAAGAACAAAACCCCTGTACCAGCTGGTTTTACCACTGAATTTTATCAAACATTTAGTGACAACCTAATACCCATCCTCCTTAAAGTTTTCCAAAAAGTAGAAGAGGGAATACTCCCAAACTCATTCTACCAGGCCAACATCACTCTAATACCAAAACCAAGCAAAGCCACCACAAAAAAAGAAAATTAGAGATCAATATCCCTGATGAACAGAGATGCAAAAATACTCAACAAAATATTAGCAAACTAAATTCAAAAATACATCAAAAAGATCATCCACCATGATCAAGTGTGATTCATCTCAGGGATGCCGGGATGGTACAACATTTGAAAATCCATCAACATCATCCACCACATCAACAAAAAGAAGCACAAAAACCACACAATCATCTCCATAGATGCTGAAAAAGCATTCAACAAAATTCAACATCCATCCATGATAAAACTCTCAACAAAAGTACCTAAACATAATAAAGGCCATATATACAAACCCACAGCCAATATCATACTTAACAGTGAGAAGCTGAAAGCTTTTCCTTTAAGATGGGGAACAAGACAAGGATGCCCACTCTATCCACTTTTATTCAACATAGTTCTGGAGGTCCTAGCCACAGCAATCAGACAACACAAAGAAATAAAAGGCATCCAGATTGACAAGGAAGAAGTTAAAGTGTCCCTGTTTGCAGATGACATGATATTATACATAAAAAACCCTAAAGAATCCACTCCAAAACTACTGGATCTAATATCTGAATTCAGCAAAGTTGCGGGATACAAAATTAAGACACAGAAATCTGTTGCATTGCTATACACTAGTGATGAAGTAGCAGAAAGAGATATCAGGAAAAAATTTCATTCACAATTGCATCAAAAAGAATAAAATACCTAGGAATCAACCTAACAAGGAAATGACAGACCTATACTCTGAAAACTACAAGACACTCATGAGAGAAATTAAAGAAGATAGCAATAAATGGAAACACATCCAGTGCTCATGGATAGGAAGAATTAATATTGTCAAAATGGCCATCCTGCCTAAAGCAATCTACAGATTCAGTGCAATCTCTATCAAAATACCAACAGCATTCTTCAACGAACTAGAACAAATAGTTCTCAAATTTGTATGGAACCACAAAAGACCCCGAATAGCCAAAGTAATCCTGAGAAGGAAGAATAAAGCAGGGGGAATTACGCTCCCTGACTTCAAGCTCTACTAAAAATCCACAGTAATCAAGACAATTTGGTACTGGCACAAGAACAGACCCATAAACCAATGGAACAGATTAGAGAGCCCAGATATAAACCCAAGCATATATGGTCAATTAATACATGATAAAGGAGCCATGGATATACAATGGAGAAATGACAGCCTCTTCAACAGTTGGTGTTGGCAAAACTGGGCAGCTGTATGCAAGAAAATGATACTGGATTATTGTCTAACCCCATACACAAAAGTAAACTCAAAATGGATCCAAGATCTGAATGTAAGTCTTGAAACCACTAAACTGTTAGAAGAAAACATAGCCAAAAATCTCCTGAATATAAACATGAACAACTCTTTCCTGAAAGCATCTCCTTGAGCAAGGGAAACAAAATCAGAAATGAACAAATGGGACTACATTATGCTAAAAAGCTTCTGTACAGCAAAGGACACTGTCAGCAGAACAAAAAGGAATCCTACAGTCTGGAAGAATATATTTGTAAATGACGTATCTGACAAGGGGTTAACCTCCAAAATATATAAAGAACTCATATGCCTCAACATCCAAAAAGCAAATAATCCTTTTGAAAAATGAGCGGAGGATATGAACAGACAATTCTCCAAAGAAGAAATTCAGATGGCCAACAGGCACATGAAAAGATGCTCCACATTGCTAATTATCAGGGAAAGGCAATTAAAACCACAATGAGATGTCACCTCACACCAGTTAGGATGGCCAACATAGAAAAGAATAGGAACAACAATTGCTGGTGAGGATTTGAAGAAAGGGGAACCCTCTCCTACACTGCTGGTGGGAATGTAAACTAGTTCAACCATTGGGGAAAGCAGTGTGGAGGTTCCTCAAAAAACTCAAAATAGAAATATCATTTGACCCAAGAATTCCACCCCTAGGAATTTACCCTAAGAATGCAGAAGCCCAGTTTCAAAAAGACATATGCACCCCTATGTTTATCACAGCACAATTTACAATAGTCAAGAAATGTAAGCAACCTAAGTGTCCATCAGTAGATGAATGGATAAAGAAGATGTGGTACATATACACAACGGAATATTATTCAGCCATAAGAAGAAAACAAATCCTACCATTTGCAACAACATGGATGGAGCTAGAGGGTATTACGCTCAGTGAAATGAGCCAGGTGAACAAAGACAAGTACCAAATGATTCCACTCAACTGTAGAGCATAAGAACAAAGCAAAAACTGAAGGAACAAAACAGCAGCAGTCTCATAGAACCCAAGAATGGACTAACAGTTACCAAAGGAAAAGGGAGTGGGGAAGTTGGGTGGAAAGGGAGGGATAAGGGGGGAAAAAGGGGTATTACAATTAGCAAACATAATGTAGCAGGGTTGGGGGGATATGGGGAAGGCAGTATAACATAGAGAAGACAAGCAGTGATTCTATAGCATCTTACTATGCTGATGGACAGTGACTGTAATGGGGTATGTGGTGGGGACTTGGTAATAGGGGGAGTCTAGTAACCATAATATTGCTCATGTAATTATACATTAATAATGGCAAAATAAAAAAAACTCATCATAAGTTAAGCAAGGTTTATTTTCTAAATTTCATCTTTGAATTCTTTGTTGATTTCCTCACTATAGGGTATGTGTTCTGACTTTTGCCCATCAATTGAGTAGAAGTAAGTTGTAAGTGATCGTCTCTTACAAAGGTTGCACTTTAAGGGATCACTCCTGTATTTAATGCCAGTAATCACTACAGAAGTCCTGCATTTACCTGCAATATTGGATTCAAAATGTAAAGTAAACATTACTTACTTATACCTTTGCACCTCATTGCCTTCCCACAAAATGGGGAGAACTCTGGATTTCAAATACAGAAGGTGGCATAAGTATAGAATTTAGTTTATAACTAACACCCCTATTCCTCTTGTTCTGAATAGTTCAAAGAGTTTGGAATGAAAACAGCCAAAATAACAGTGTTTTGGACAAGAAGTGGATTTCTCCCTCTCATGTATAAGAAGTCCAGAGACAGGCTTCCAGGCTTGTACAGTGGCTTCCTGTGAGAAGTGTTACTAATGTTTCTTGAGATTGAAAATATTCATAACCTTGCATCTACCTGACTATGGCCCAGTGAGCTCTTCAAAATATCATTTCTGAAGCCTTACATCATCTGGGACACTTTAAAACCTTTCACAGTAGATGTAGAAGAAAAAGTGAACTTATCTGTTCTCTCATAAAGTTCAATATACTTTGCCCATATAGAATATACAAAGTCTTTTTAGGGCTTTTAGAATTCTAATTGTACATTAAGTCCATGCATTTCCCTTATGACAAAAACTTCTTGCTCTGTTATCTCCCAAATTCTCTTTATGAAATCTATTTTATCTTTTAGTGACCTTTACTCAAGATTAAAAAGGAGGTGAATGAGACTTTAAATTGAAAAATGGAGAGAAGATACAGTTGTATGTTCAATGATTCTACAACAGACATTTTTAGTAGCCCATCTGCACAAAGAAAGAGGTCAAGTTTGTCTTGGGATGCAAACACTGAAGGTGTAAGTAGATCTTAGGATGTAAGGTTTAATCTGCTCTTGTATAAAATTTGTGATAATATTTGGCTAGCCAGGTTTTCTGAAAATACACAGTGACACTTAACTTTCATCCACATGACTAGTTCTAATCCTTCTTTTCTACATATTAGGGGCTCACAATCAAATAAAAAGAAACAAAAGCATGAAACCCTATTAAGGAAAAAATTATAAGTTCAAGTTTAAATATATGAAGAAAAAAATTTTCTGAGTTAGCTGTAATACAATTTGTCCTCAAAATCCATGTTTAGGAAACACATTTCCCTGTGCATTATAGATGTACATTAACATATTAACATTATAGATCCTACTGGCAGGTTAAACTCTTGGGCAGCCTGCTTTTCCAAAAGTTAGAGTGGATTTTGTTCACAAGTATTAGCTTATCAACTGTTAGCCAAATCTACCAGCTGCAGATGTTTAATTGTTTAAACACTACTTTCATTATATTTTATTCACGTATTTACAGAATCACACTTCATTACCTTCAAGCGGAGGCTGGCCTGTGGCAGCAGCTGGAGAGTAAGAGGGGCCTCACACACCACACAGATGGGAGTGTTCATGGGTACCATGTTTCCACATTCTGCACATAAGCCCATCTGCACAAAGAAAGAGGTCAAGTTTGTCTTGGGAAGAAAAAACTGAAGCTATAAGTACAACTTAGAATGTAAACTTCCATTTACTTTTGTATAAAAATTTTTAAATAGTTGCTTTATTCTTTTTTTTCTGATTAAGAGTAAAAACATGTTTATTGTAGAAAAGTGAAGTGTAAAAAAAAAGGGGGGAGAAATATCTTACAACATGATGGAGTGAGGAAGTGGGCAGATACTCTCTCCAATAAGCAATTATAAAGTAAGCTAAAACTGTACAAAAAACCATTTCAGATTCTGAAAGTTACCAAAGGCAGTCAACAAACTGAAAGTACTAACTTCAGATAAGAATACTACAAGTCTGTGTGGTTTTTGCTGGGGGCTGTTCTCATCCTCCCGTTCTATCAGTGTGGTAGCTCTACCAGAGCAGACTGGGAAGACCCAGCAGCTTTGTGGCTGCTGATCAGCAGGGCTGACCTGATTTGGAGCTGATGATCTCAGTGACAAGCAAAGAGGGAGGGCCAGTAGCTCCACTAGCCTGAGACTGTGGTCCTGTTTGAGGCAGTCAGTGGACCATCAACTAGGCAGGGATTTAATAGGGAGTTCCAGGAGGTAAGTCAAATACAGAGGGCTTAATAAGCTCTCCACAGACAGACCCTAGGTTAACTGGAGGATATGTGTACAACATAAACCAGAGGGGAACTGAGCCACCTACAAATCCCTGGCTGATGGAGACTTTACATGGAGATGTAAGAGAGGTCAGCATAAAGTTAAGGCTGAGCAGACTTGAAAATAGCCTGAACTTTGTATGTTCTACTCAGCCCACACATAGAGCCATCATCAGAAAGTGGAAGCCTTACTGGACGAAGGTGTTTGAGCACAACTTCTGACCAGTCTTTATTTGAACACTAAGCTATGCAGACTCAGGGGTGACCCCAGGCTTAAGAATAAAAATAAGAAAAAGAAAACCTGATATCAGTGGCCACACATTTTAGGGAAGACAGAATAAAAAAGTTATTCCAAGTAAATAAAAAAATTAAATAACAGTGCTAGGAAGAAAAGTCAGAATCCAGAGTTGTCACATTATATTATCTAAAATATCCAGAATTCAAGAAAAAAGTATGAGACATAAAAAAAAAACAAGAAAGCTTGACCTATACTCAAAGGAAAAAAAAAGATAGTCAATAGAAATAGTATCGCCAGATGTTAGATTTAGCAGACAAAGATTTTAAAAAGCTATTGTCAAAATGTTCAAGGAACTAAAGGAAACCATGTTTAAAAAATTAAAGAAAGTACAATGACGATCAAAAAAATAGGGACTATCAATAAAAAGATAGGAATTCTAATAACAAAACTAAATCAAAACCTGTAATTGAAAAGTAAAATATATGAAAAAAAAATCACCAGAGGAAATCAATAGTAAATCAGAAATACAGAAGAAAGTCAGTGAACATGAATATAGTTCAATAGAAATTTCCCAGTCTGAAGAATAATGAGGGGAAAAAAATAAGGAAAATAAACAGACCATCAAATACCTGTGGTATAATACAAAACATATCAACAGTCCCAGAAAGAAAGAAGAGAAAGGCACAAAAGAAGAATCTGAAGAAATAATGGTCAAAAATTTCCCACAATATGAGGTAAAACATTAATCTACAGACCTAATAAAAATCAATCCCAAGAAAGATAAACACAAAGAGACCCATACTTATACACATTGTAGTCAAATTGCTACATTTCAAAGAGAAAATCTGGAAAGGATCAAGTTATTAGGAACTACTTAGCACACATAAATGCTACGGTGGCCAAAAGTCAGGAAAATCACATAGTCAAAGGCTGATATTAAAAATAACTGTCAAACAGAATTCTATATCCAGGAAAACTATCCTTCAAAAATGAAGGTAAAATAAACATTCTCAGATAAACAAAGACAGAGAGAGATGGCTAGCAGACATGACTTTAGGAAAGGAAGTCCTTCAGGCTGAAAATAAGTGACATTAGATGATAAGCCTGAGTTATCAGGTTATCAGGAAAGAAGTGAGGAAATGAGAACGTAGATATAATAAACACATGGGTAAGTATAAATGACTCCATAAATATTTTTCTTATCTTTAAATGACATAAGATTGTGTAACAATGCATTTTCAGTTTATGACATATTTATGTAATTTATATAATATGTATGTTACATAAGAGATAAGTAAATGGGAAGGAAAAGGAGATATATTGAAACAAAACTATTTTATTTTACTGGATTTAAGTTAAATTATTCTGAAATAGATTGTGATAAGGTGCATATTGTAATCCCTAAAGCACCATTAGAAAATTACTTTAAATAGTAAAAAAAAAAAAATCAGCATAGGAATTAATATGGCAGACTAAAGCTATTTATTTAACACAAAAAAGGCAGTGAAGGAGGAACAAAGGAATAAAAAAGAGATGAGACAACTAGAAAACAAACAGCAAAATGGCATATGTAAATTCAATCATATCAATAATGACATTAAATGTAAACAGACTCAACACCATATTCAAAGGCAGAGATTGTCAGGCTGGATAAAAAAGCAAGATGCAAATACATGCTGTCTGCTACAGATACATCTTTAGATTCAAAGATACAAACAGGCTGGAAGTAAAAGTACAGAAAAAGATATATAATGCAAATAGTAACCACAAGAGAGCAGGAGTGGCTACATAATGATAAAAAAATAGGACTTTAAGACAAGAAATATTACTAGAGACAGAGATTTTGTGATGATAAAAGGGTTTAAAAAATCAGGAATACATAGCAATTATAAATGTATACAAACATAACAACAAATCCCCAAACTACATGAGGCAAAAACTATGAGTCAGACTTGAGGTAAGACTGCACCTATCACCTGACCCAACTTTTACTGGTGGACCACAGTGGTGTTTTAGATCTCCCAAGAATTAGCATCAATCAGAGCCATTAATTAGCCAAAGATTTTATGTCCAAATCTTTGGCGAGTTAACGGCTCTGATGCTAATCCTTTCCCCAGATGCATAGTCACTCTAGTGAAGGCAATAGATCTCTGGAAAAGGTTCAATACTTGCAATGATAGAGGGTCCATCCTCAATCAAGGAGCTCTGGGTTTGTGAGTTGACTTAAGTTTGGAAACAGTGAGAGAATTGGGTGCTCCACTACGGTGACTCAGATCAGGTTTGGCTACAAGACCTAGTGTTTTTTCCAATTACATAGACCAAGTAATACTCAAGTAGGCTGCCATGTAATTCATTCCTAGGAACACCATGATCAGATTCCTGTGACTGACAGATCACTGCTGCCCTTACAGTAGATATGCCCCCTCATCTTTGGCAGTTGCTGCCACTTAACCTCTGCAACTCTGGAATCCCATTAGCTCCGCTGAAATCAGGGAGCCCCTCTCAATGGCAGGATCGTCCATAGTCATGCCTGGACTACAAAAGAAAGCAGCCACAGAACTTTTCAAGGACGCAAGGGCTTTCATTAGTGTCTTCCTGAATGCCTTAGTAAAGAGAGTGTCTTCTGGGTCTTCTTGTGAAACACAGGTAAGAGTTGGAGAGTACAGAACACATTACAAGGCTGCTCCAACATTCCTATCTTTCTCCACATGCTAGGGAGTTCTTGTATCTCAGTCTCACTAAACATAGGCCACTACTGAGTCCGAGTTTTAGTCAGCCAACCAAAAGAGCAGTTAAGGCCACATCCAGTTGCATTAGCAACATATTAAATCCAGAATCTATAGAAGGTGTATGTATATCCATGAATTTGGTCTGATTAAGTGTTATATTCTGCCATCATTTAAAATCAACCCCCACGCCTGTTCCCCATATTAGCAGTCATGCTTTTCTTGTCATGTATAATCTATTTCCTCCTGGATCACAGAGTGCACCGGTCCCACTATAACATGCTGAAATTGGGCCATAGTAATGGTTCAGGGTGGGTGTGGTGGGTCTTGAGGAGAATAAGCATCCCTTCTCAAGGCCCTGCCCCAGGTGGGGTTATCACAGAGATTTCAAGCAAAGAAAGGCTAGTATTTTCAGAAAGGAGGGCAAGCTACATCCACTGACAATGAGGCTCAGAGTAATTTAGGGATTTTTGACTGTCAATTAGTTTCATCTGAGTCCAACCCAACATCTGCATTCCAAGTTTCAGGGTCCCATTTTTTCCCAATTAATGCCCTTTCACATAAGAAACATGGTGATAAAATGAATTCAGCTGGTATTTTAACTCAAAAACACATACAATTAAATTTTGTGTCTGAATTCAGCAACATAGCCCTGGAGTTACAAGAAGTAGATGCTTTTAGGGCTCTTGTTGGGGCGCAGCTCTAGTTCTCAGACTATGGCTTAAAGGTCCTGGCTTGTCAGTTTCTGAGAATGCCTGCATCTCTTCAGGAGGATCCTCCCACCCTACCTTCTCTGTAGTCATCATCACTGCCACAGCAGCCGAGGGTAGCAGCCACCTGGCCAATCACAACACTTGCTTCAGTTGGCACTTTGTCACTATCAGCCATGTGACAGCTTGATTGATTGTGGTGCCACTTCATGCTTTCTGTTTGCCATTGTAAGGGGCTCAGTGCTGCTCTGGAGCAAAGGTAAAGGCCAAACCACTTTCAAACTTCCATCTTTGCAGGTCTGGTTCCTAGGGCCAGTCCTGGTACCAAGTATCAGGCACCAAGTACCTGGTACTCTGTAGCACAGTCCAGTCAGGAAACAGAAACCACATAGTAATTTGAACATGAAATGTCTAATGTGAGTATTAATGAGTAACAGAGGATTGACTACTAATGGACAAAGCAAACTCTAAAGAATATAGGAATATCCATTATAGGGAGGAGCCACTACCTCTAAGGTGAGGCAGAGAACCCAAAGAGGACCAAATCTGGAAGAAGCACTTACTCCCCCAAGGTGGAAATCAGACTTCATTGAGTTGTGTGTGGCTGTTGCCCAGTGAGTGGATGGCAGAGAAGTTCATCAGGGTGACACAGACCAGAGCTAACAAACAAAAACTGGGGTCAAATGAAACTCGTTAGGAAATCCCCCTTCGGGAGCTGGTGGAACATTCTAGGAAGCCACATGCAGGCATGCTGCTGCAACTTGCTGGGAAACAGCCCACTGGGAGGTTTGAGGGCCATCTAGAAGCTGGCAGGGGTGCCAGTGGATCTCACAGAGATGGTGTCCATAGGATTCCACTGAAATTCACAGGGATTCAGTACAACTAGGGGTTCCCAGAGGGTAGCCGAGCACCATAAGAGCAAGAAGAGTGGAAAGCGTACCAGAACCGGGAGGAAAAGTCACATCCACACTTGAGCAGCAGTCTCCCTTTACTGACAAAAATAAGAATCAAAACAGCTGGCAAAGGAGAAACGTTTAAAGGGTCCAACACCAGTACCAAAAGGCAGGGCAATGAAGGGTGGATTTGGAGCTGAGAGGCACACTTCTGCATCTCTCTCATGAGAGTCTGAGTGTCCCAGGTCTAGGATCATAGGAGCACGATCCGCTCCTTGGAATCTCAGAACCTTGGCTAACAGCAGGACACAGTAAGTACTCAATAAATAGTTTAAATTACAAAAAAAATTTATCACAAAAAATACCAAAAAAAACACCTAATTACAAAGAAATATTGTAGCCATTTAATAAATATAATTTTGGGACGAGTATATATATTTCAAAGTTCATCTTTTAAATATTTTATTTAATTTATATTAATTACTTTTCTCACTCTAAAAACAAAGTTGTGACATTCTGTTTTCAAGGCAGTAAAAAATAACTTTGACATTGCACCAATGAACGTAAGTAGGTAAAATTTAAACCAACGAGACCTGTTCATATTTTATTTGCTGTATTACCTTCTTCATGGAGTTCAAAATATATCACAAAGTAAATTAAATTAACTTCTACAACCATTTTGAGCAATAAATTGCCGTAAATTAAAAAAAAATATCCACTTGGATTTTGGCCCTTTGCTTGAAGGCAAACTCAATTCTGAAACTCTAGACTTTGAAATCACTGAATTGGTGACTTTTTCTAAGTAACTATCTTTTTAAAGATGGTCATTTTTCACTCAACACAGATCTTTTTATTTCATTTTGTAAACCCTACTGAAAAAAAAAGCAGAGTATCGAGTGCATAAAAATGAACATATTTTGGTTAAGGTTTTGATTTTTAGTAAGCTGAGTATGTTTTCTAACTAATTACAAATTCATTAGTAGGGTAATATCAAGTATTATCTACATTTAATAGTCAAAGCTTTTTAATTTAGATACATTGATCTACGTAGGGCTTATACAAATAACTTCTTTGGACAGAATAATGTCCACATTATTATGGACATATAGACTTGTAATCAGTAATTAGTACTTCTTTCCATTTATTTCTAGGATATTATTTCTTTACTGTATCCAAGTTATGAACAGAAATATCATATGAGTAGGAAAAACATAGTTACCCATGTGTGCATCACTGAACAATAAGATTTCAGTCTCTCTGAGCCTGTGCTGAGGCAAGGCCACCAAAAGAAATGATACTGCAAACAAGTGTTTCCCTCCTTAGGTAGGAATTTAGACAGCAAGAGATTAACCTGCCAGTAATTTTTCACCAAGTACTTATGTTTGTGGTTCTAGTGCACCAGACACTCTGCTACTTCTGCAAATAAATATCAGATAAACAAATGGAGGGCATTTAAAAAGATTTTGCTGCTCAAAAGAAATTCTCCCACTTGCAACAACATGGATGGAGCTAGAGGGTATTATGCCCAGTGAAATAAGCCAGGCAGAGAAAGACAAGTACCAAATGATTTCACTCATTTGTGGAGTATAATAACAAAGCAAAACTGAAGGAACAAAACAACAGGAGACTCACAGACTCTAAGAAGGGACTAGCAGTTACTGAAGGGAAGGGGTAGGGGAGGTTGAGTGGGGAGGGCGGGAGAAGGGGATTAAGGGACACTATAATTCGCAGTCACATTGTTAGGTAGGTCATGGGGAAGGCAGTACAGCACAGAGAAGACAAGTAATGGCTCTACAGCATCTTACTGTGCTGATGGACAGTGACTGCAAGGGGTGGGGGGGGACTTGATAATACGGGTGAATGTAGTAACCACAATGTTGCTCATGTGAAATCTTCATAGAGTGTCTATCAATGATACTTAAAAAAAAAGATTCTGCTGCTCACCTGAGCTCCTTCTGGGGGTGGGAGACGACAGCCAAACATGGGTGGGACAGGAAAGCCACATTCTTGACAGAAGCGAGCAAAGGGATCAGATGGGCGGGGGGCAAGGCAGTGGGCACACCTACAACAAAACAGGTTCCTGATTGGCTGGGTTCTGATGAGTTCACATTAAAAAGTCAGGTAAAAATCTAAAAGTATTCAAATATTTAAAAAGTAAAATAAAAAATAAAACAACAAGCAAACCACTCTCAAAAGCTATGGAGTGAGTTCAAGCAAGGAGATGTTTCTCGTCATTTAATTACAAAGCGGCCTCACACCTGGACCCACTTGTGTCCTTCACCTGTAGGCCAGGCCTGCATTACCTCCTGACTGTAGCAGATGTTGATCAGCAGCCTTGATGTCACTTCTGGCTTGTCCTATGACATCAGACTTGTTGTGTGTGCCTGCCTAACCACTGAGCCCAGTCTGAGTGACACATCTTGCAGGCACTCTGGAGGGTCGCTTCTTGCCTGCTTTTATCTTCCCTCCCCTGGTTAGAGTTCCAAGGCCCTGTTTCAGCAACATCTGGCCCCATTTCTTGGGCAGCTGTATCCCATCATTTAGCCCTTCTCCACCTATCTGGGTTTTGAATATTGGCCAAAGTAAAAGGATTCCTGGACTTGGGCTCCCCTGTGAATGTCACCTGCTGCCATACCTTTCCAGGCAGTCTGGGCCTGATCCCGTGACCTGCCTGTCTGAACTGCCCCTCAGTATCTGTGATGTCCAGACACTGCGCTGGATGGCTTGGTAGCCCGTGCCAGTCTCTATCATGGCCTCTCAACAATTGCCAGCCTTTGTATTTGAGTTCACGTCTCACATTCTTTACCCCATATAGTCCTTCCTCCCCAGACTATGTTACCAAGGTTTCAGCATGTCTCCTGCATTGGCCACCAGGGCAACAAGAATCTTTTCCTCCTTACCCCCAAACCTCATGAAGTGTTACTCAGTGGTCCATAGAGCAAACTATCTCATTGCTCTCATCTTTCTATCCATTCAGAAACGTCTGAGAACGTACTAAGTGTCAGCTCTGAGGACTTGGTACCTACCCTGGAAGAGCTCAGATCCATGGGAAGAAAACAAAAATACATCAAAATCAATATTAAAACAGAGGTTTTCAAAATGGGCTATGAATGTCAAAGGAAGCAAAGGATATGGAAACTTCATAAAAGACATGACATTTAAGCTGAATATTAACGGAAGAATAAGAGCTTGCCAGAGGGAGAAAATGGGTGGTATTCAACCCATGGAAAACAGAAGATAAAGTGGCCCGAAGCAAATATTTTTAGTGAATTCTAAGCAGCTTGAGGGACTTTTACTTCCAGGTAAGTTGACTAAAAGAGAGCATATTTACTTTCCCACCTGAATGAATAAAAAAATAAAAAACAGAAAATATATGAAGCAACAATTTTCAGATATTAGACAAGAGGCAGTGATGACCACTGAGCCATGAAAAACAGGAAATAACAAACACAAGTCTTATGGTTGCTCCAGTGTACTGCCAGAAGAGAGGTTTCAAGTACTAGGGAAAAGGAACTCTGACTTGAATACATAGAACCAGGAGCCCGAGGACATCAAGGCAGCTAGAGTTTTCAGGAAAAGCTGCATGGAGCTTCAGAAATTTTCAGAGGGTCACCCTCAAATCCCCCATTTGATGTACATGTGCATAAAAAAATTACTCGAGGTCAGGAAAAAAACACCAAAGGGGAAGAGAGGTAACTATATAAAGGGCTGACCCACATCTGGGAAGTTCATGCTCTCACCAATCAGCCAAAGTATAAAACTTCATGTGTAATGGAGCATCAGGGAAGTACTCAGAAGAATAATTTCCAAGGAAAAATCATTACTACACTAAATGCTGCTCTGGCCCCCTCTACAAAACTTAAAAACAACATTGAAAGGATCACTATTCCCAAGTAAGTAACTTTCAAGTAACTTTATTCCAGAATAAAGCTCAAGAATCATTATGGGAATACAGAAGTACCCAAGACTCAACAAGATAAAATTCACAATGTCTGGAACCCAGTCAAAAATTGCCAGGCAGGCAAAGAAACAGGCAATTACAATGCATAATCAGAAGAAAAGTAAATCCCAATATGACCCATGTGATAGCATTAGTAGACAAGACATTAAAACCATGTTTTCATATATCTAAGGAGAAAAGTATAAGCATGTTAAGTAGAGACATAGAGGATACAAAAATATACAAATAAAAGTTGTACAGATTTTTTTTAATGGCTGAGATGAAAAATACACTGCAGGATTAACAACACATTAGAATAAAAGATTAGTGAACTTCAAATGAATGACTTCATTTTCCACATTAAAGAAGTTAGAAAAAGAAGAGCCAGTGAAACTCAAGGTTCACTCAAGAAGAAATAAATAAACCTGAACAGACTCACACCTTTTAAAGAATTTAAATGTGTAGCTTAAACTTTTCTTTAAAAGATAACTCTGAACCCCAGTGCCTTCACTGGTAAACTCTACCAAACACATAAGGAAGAAATAATATCAATTCTATACAAAATCTTTCAGAAACTGAAGGAGAATACTTCCCAACTCATTTTATAAAGCCAGTTATCCTGATACTAAAACCACACAAAGACAGTATAAGACAAGAAAACTACAGACCACTGTTCCTCATGTACATACATGCAAAAAATTATTTACATCTTAGCAAATTAAACATTATATAAAATGGATAATACTTCAAGTAAGGTTTATCTCAGGAGTGATAGTTGATTTAAAACTTGAAAATTAATCTTTATAATTCAACACATGAACAAGAAAAAGAAAAACATACAATCATTTTAACAGATGTGAAAAAATGGCTTTGGACAAAATCCAACATCTTGTTCTGATTTAAGAAAAATACTCAACAAAATAGGAATAAGAGAAAATACTTCACACACTGCTGGTGAGAATGTAAAATGGTAATCTCTTTGGAAAATTGTTTGGCAGTTTCTTAAAAAGTTAGATATAAACCTATCACATGAGCCAGTCATTTCACTTCTAGGGTATTTACCTAAGGAAAATAAAAATATATGTGCATATGATGACTTAGGTACAAATGCTCATAGCAGCTTTATCTGTAACAGCCCAAAACTGGAAACAATCCAAATGTCCATCAACAGGTGCGTAGAGAAACAAATTGTGATGTACTCATATGATGGAATACTACTCAGCAGTAAAAACAAATAAACACTTTATACATGCAACACCATGAGTGAATCTCAAAATAATTAGGGGAAGTGAAAGAAGCCTGGCAAAAGAAAGTACATATTGAATTATTTCATTTACATATGGAACGAAATGTAAACTAAGTTATAGTCACAAGAAGCAGATAAACAGCTGCCTGGGGATAGGGAGGCACCGAGGGAGGGGTTTCAAAGGGTACAGTGTAGGAAACTTTTGGAGGTGATGGCTTTGTTCATTTTCCTGATTATGATGTTAGTTTCAAGGATATATACAAGTGTCAGTTATAGTCTCCAACGAAGTGCAGTTTATTGTATGTCAATTTTGCTTTTAAAATTTATAAAAATGAAATAAAAAAACAATTAGGAATTGACAAACACCATTGTTATGTCGCATCCTTAAATTCTTTTTGACCTCAATGTGTCTAAGTAGGATTTAAGGAATAGTAAAGAGAATGCAGTACTTACTTAAGAAAGTCTGTGTCCCTTTGAATTCTCATGATCTCTGTGCTTGTCAAACTCTTCTGGCCAGTTGCATGTGCAAAACTAGGGGACTAAAATTAAGGATATAGATAAAAACATAGTAAAAGCTAGAGTGTAGTAAAAGTTAATTAAAAATTCATTTTAATGTTTTATCTTATAATATTCAGCATCCATACTTTAACAAACCATGATGGGGAATGTCATAAGTAATGATTACCCCAGTACTCAACATTAGAAAAATTAAAGTGCTATTCATAATAATCAGATATGTCTATTCATTAAAAACAAGAGTTTACAAGGGAAGGCATCTGAATTTACTATCAGAAAATCAGCAGTCAGACCAGACCAGATTTTAGAATTTAAAAATCTAAATTAACCTCCATTTTTCTCAAAGATTATATCCCTAGGAAACTCAAAAGGACTCACCTAAGAAAACATGCAGCAACTGTCTGCTATCTGGAAATATTTAACTCATTTTGATACATTTTTAATTGAGCATCCACTTTGTACCAGGTACAGTAATTGATGCAGGGTTGGGGATACAGATAAATATTATGTGGTCCCTACCCTCAAGGAGCTGAACTGGTACACATACAAAATACTGAAACCCAGTGGGTTCAATAGAGTAATGCATTTGTACTGAGTCCCATGGGAGCCTAGAAGATGGATAATCACATTCATGTGCTCAGGGCAGAAGGGCTGTAACATCTGAGTGGGCCTGGGAGAGTAAAGTAAGTTATCAGGTAGACAGAAGGACAAAGGGAATTCTGAGTAGAGGAAAAAGAAGATAAATTTGTGGTCCCTTTCTGACCACCTTGGTCCTTTGAAATCTAGTCAAATTCCCCAAATTTGTCCCTATATCCCTAGTTTTTTGGAATTCTGAATCTTGGAATCTTTACATATTGTCTTACTCTACCTTTGAAACAACAACTCTTACATAACTAGGTGGGCAAGGGAATCCAAATATTCATACACAAAGAAAATAATTATTTCTGGACACATAACACATAATCATAGTCATTTAAGACTTTTCTGAAAATAGTTATGATTGTGTATTGTTATATACCATTCATTCTTCAAAATGTTATGTTTTAATCTCAAAATCAGTATTCTTACATACTACACTGGCAATAGCGGCAAGCACTGCTCACAGGAGTTGAGTGTGGTGCTCTTTTAGCCCATTTAGTAACCAGGTAACCATTCCTCCAGAAAACAGGGAAGAGCAATCTTCTGTTGTGGAGTTGGTTGTTCTTTTGTTGATTGGGGTCTGCAAGTAGGCCTTACTGGGTCTTATTCTGGTGTCAGCTTTGTGGTCCTCCAGAAAATAAACGGGTGGGCAGATGGAAGAACTTGGGAAGTAAGGCCAAGTTACACCATAGATTTAGAGACTGGAAATGAAGGAAAGGGCTTGACTTGGTATGATAACAGTTGTTCTTCTAGGCCAGTGATTCTCAGACTGGGCTGATTATCAAAGTTTTCCACAGACTCCATCCCAGGGTTATCTAGGAGGACCGTGGGAGGGTGTAGCTGGGAATACAGATACACATTTAAAGTTCCTTGCAGGTGATTCTGATGCACAGCCTGGTTTGGGAGTCCTGCTTTTTCCCTCCTTTATACTTGATGAGTGTGACCAGCCTTTGGAATCACAAGTACCTGAGAAGCAGCTGTGACTGGATAGAAAATGCGACTCCAGGTACATGCAACTTGGGGCCCAGAATTAGAGGAAGAGAGCAGGGGCTCCTGGGCTGCCCCTAGAAGTCTAAACTGAATTTTATAAATATGGAAAAATCAATATGCCACAATAGTTACAGTAGGCAACTAATATAAGAGCATCTTTCTTGTATTATATAGTGAGAATGTATGGATATGGCTTTATTGAGGTCATCAATCACTTCCATCTTGTCAAATCCACTGGCAAGTCCCTGTCTAATTTGGATCCTCAGTAACATTTGACACAGATGACCACTGCCATCTCCTTGAAACTCAGTTCTCTTGGCTTCTATGGCACCATATGTTGTGGCTATCTTCCTACTTTTCAAGCTCATCCTCCTCTGCTCAACCTGTAAATTGAGGATTTTTGTCTTATGCTATCTTCTTTTCATTTTCTGTACACCTTGGCATGTGATCTCTTCAGACCTAAGCTTTAAATACCATATATATATTGAATATTTCTAAATATAAAACTCTATCCTTGACCTCTCTCCTAAATTTGAATTTGCATGTCCACTGGTCTACTTAACAGCTCCACTTGAATGTCTAATGAGCCCTTAAACACCTGCTCTTCCCTGGCCTTCTCTAATTCAGTAAACACTACCATCACCTCCAGGTGCTCAGACCAGAGCCCTGAGAGTCATCCTTTGATCCTCCCTTACCCTCATCCCATCCACCTGAACCCTCAGCCAACCTGTCAGCTCTACCTCCAAAACATATCTGGAGTCCCACTTGCTCCTATCATCAACTCTACTTCTACAATCTTGATAGAAGCCACTGTCATCTTCTTACCTGGAGCAAAGGCCACCTAAATGATATTTCCCTCTTATTTCTCTATAATCTAATCTCCATACTGTAGCCAAAAAAAAAACCCCACCCCAAACACTTTTAAATGTAGATGAGATCATGTCTCACCTTCAAATGGTTTCCCTTTACAATTAGAAGAAAATCCAAAGTCCTTACAACAGGCCTTAAGGCCATAGCATCTGTGATTCTTAACCATGCTTGCCTGTTAGAATCACTTGTAAATGAACTGTAAAAAAATAAAATCATGCCCAAACCCCACAAACAGACCAATTAAATCAGAGTTTCTGTGGTTGGGTTCCTGGGATTGGTCTGAAGCCCTCGGGTGTTCCTAATGTCTGACAACCACTGCTCTCCATGTTGTAGCCCAGCCCACCTCACCCACCTCATCTCCTCTTGCTCACCAGGCTCCATCCACACCAGCCTCCTCGCCATCCCTCACTTTGCTGTGCTTGTTGTTATTGCTGCCACAGTCTTTACAAGGCTGGCTTCTATCCACCTTGAAGGTTCAATTCAAATGCCGCTCTTTCAAGGCAGCCCTCTCTCATGACCCCAAATTAGAACCACTCTTGTTCTTTCTCTATCTCAGGGGTTCTCAAACTTGAATGTACATCAAAAGAAGGGCTAGAATAAAACAGATGATTGGCCCCGCCCTCAGAGTCTGATTTAGCAGGTCTGGGGTTTGCATGTCTAATGAGCTCCCATGAGATGCTGATGGTCTTGCTCCTGGAACCAGGCTTGACACCACTGCTGTATTCCATCACCCAGTTTTATCTTCTTCATGGTACTTATCACTATTGTAAATTTGTGTTCGATTGTTCACATGTTTATTATCTGCCAATAAAATGTAAGCTCCATGAGTACTGAGTCCAGGGGCCTTTTTTGTCCAGCACAGTATTCCCTGCACTGGAACAGTGCCTAACCCACAGTGGAAAGGCTAGGGGGCACTGCCTTAAAAGTATTTCAGGGGAAGAGTAAAAATATGGGAGGTATTTGTCACCCTAAAGATTCTCCTTAGAAGTTACCTGAAACTGGAGGGTGGGTGGTCTAGAACCTGATTCTTCATGGTAAGCTGGGATTTCCAGGGGACTCTCTGAGAAGTGAAGATCTTTCAATGTTTTAGGGTCAGTTCTTTCACCTACCTCGAGGTCTACAATTATATCAAAAACATTGCTCTGTGAACATCTGCAATTACACATGTAATCATGTAAATATGTCCTCATAGCTGGACACCTTTTAAGGGACCACTGTCATCACATTCTTTATCTAGAAGTAGCTGTTATATAAAGAAACCTCTATGTAGTGAATTGGCACTGAGAATGAAAAAATTAGCCCAGACTGAGATCTGCCCTGCTACATTCCACAACGTCTCATATAGGCTGGAAAAAGACAAACCCAACTGCAAGGTTAGCAAGAAACATTACTTCTCCCAAAGACACACTGCAGCTGTAAATGTCCTAACAGCCCCCATTTGGAGTCACTACTGTTTCTTACTTGCTGACAAACCATGTTCTCTAAAAACAGAGATTATCAAAAACTGTGCTGTTTGAAATCCTGTCAGTAAGAATGAAACATCCAACTCTTGCCTGGAGAGTCGCTTAAACACAGAGAAGCAGCCTCAACTTCCCACTGCAGTTTCAGAGAAGGGTTTCTGCACACAGCATTCCACATTTATCTCTGTGGTTCCCAAGGTAACAGAGCCCTGGGCCCTTTGCAGACCCAACAGGCGATGACACTTCACACACAGCCCTGCTTTGCCTTGAGCCTATCAAAACTTAGTTTTCATTTAAATTTCACCCAAACACCACCTAGCCCCCAATCCCTACAACTGTCTTTTCCCCTGGTAAGATGCCCCCTGGTGGTTCTGGTGTGTGGTCTCCCCCATTGCAGTGAGTGGATAAATGTGACTTTCTTGGACTACTTAATTACTGTCATGGTCTTAAGCTGTCAGCAAAGACAGCACTGAACTCCAGTTACAGCTCACTTCTGTACCCCAGCATCTCTTATCCCAGCAAGGTCTGCAGACAAGGAAACAAGCAGTGAACCTGTTTGGTGGTTTTGAATAAAAAAACTTACCTTGTCCTGTCACGTCATACCTGCAAACTTTCTAAAGTTAACATTCCAGCCTTGTTTATTTTTGGCATTATATTTCTTCCTTAGTTTTGATCCAAAAAATCCATTCTTCAATTCCTAGGAATGAAGAGACTACATGTCAGTCATTTGACTATGCCCCTTTGGAATGAGAAAATTCAGTTACATAGTAGAGATAGTGTCAATGCGTGCACTTCTTACTTGAAAGGGTTTACAGTAGCTTTTACAAAACGACCCATTTCGCCTTACTCTGTAAATACATGGCTTTTTATCTGGGCTGCTTGGCTGGCAGCATGTCTGGCTGGCAGTCCCATCAGGTCAAGTAAGCAAGACTGGAGGCAGATGGTAGCACATGAAGGCCAGATGTTGCAATCATAGGAATCTGAGTAATAGCAGAGTGACCACAAGACCCGGGGGCCAAATACAGGGTAAGGTCAGACCAAGAGAGGACTTATGTATACTCCTTGCCCACACATAGTTACTTCTCTTTTAAACACTTCTCTCTGGACATTCTTCTCCATGGATTCAGTCCCTTAGGCCTGATTCAAGCCTCAGCACCTGCTGAAACATGTAGGCTCAGCCTCTGCTGGCAGCTCCTGCTTAGTGTACATCATACCTGAGCCCACACTATGCCTACACCCACTGCTCTGGGCCCACAGCCTCCTCTCTGACCTCTGGTCCCTCTTTGGGCTGAAGGACTCCCCCAACAAACTGCCTGCCACCCTCAACAAGACCACCAGGACTGAGACTGAGACTTTGGCTAGTCCATTATCTGGCTCCTGGATCTATCTCACTGATGCCCAGAACGCAGGGACAGAAGTTTCCAACATCCTTTTTTAGATAGGTCTACTTCACTCTCTAAAAAAATGAGGCTTTGAAACTACTTGGGGATGAAGATCTCAACATAGTAGAATGCTATGCCCACTGAGAGCTTCTGCTAGTCTAATGCATCTATTCAACAAATATCTCACCATCCTCTCCTACCTGCCCCTGAGCAAGGCAGTGAGTATGGCAGACATGCTCTGGGCCACCCTGGAATTCACAGTGCATGGGGAAGATAGACAAGGAGATAAGTAATCACATAGTCAAAGCTTTCATAAAAGAAGGTCTGGGTGCTAGGGAAGCAGTGATAGAATTTAGTTTAGTTTGGTTGGAGTATATGCACGGAGTCACAAAGCAAGGATGACTGTGGATGAAATGAGAGTTCCTGTGGTCAGGATTCTCACCTCGCCCTGGTTGACTAGCTCACTGCACACCTGTGGGCAATACATGGCTGTTGACTCTATAAAAAGAGCTCTGCCCAGTGCTCTAGGCACAACACGGTGGCACGGCTGCAAGGCTGCAGGAGAGCAGAGCAGAGGCTGGAGTGGTGGCAGCACCAAGGACAGAGGCCCAGAGGACAGCTGTGCAGGATGACTGTGCAGAGAGGCCCAGAGGACAGCTGTGCAGGACAACTGTGCAGACAGGCCCAGAGGACGGCTGTGCAGGCAGAGAGGCCCAGAGGATGGCTGTGCGGACAGAGGGACCCAGAGGCAGAGACTGGCTTGCTGCATGCAGACTCGCTCTGAGTGAATGGGATTCTGGTGACTGACCTGCCACCTGGAAGTAAAGTTGGGTATAACCCTTTCACCCTAAGAACGTTTTGCTGTCAATTTCTTTGGTCACATTGAATCCATAGCAAATTTGCCCAGGGCTGAAACCTATTGGCAAGACAATAACCAAGGGCAGAAACTGGTCACTTGGGATGCCAGGCCAAAGGTTCTGCTTCCTTCATCAGGTAAGGGGAATCACTGAAGACACTGGAGCATGGGCGGTGAGGCTGGGTAGGAATTTAATGTGCGGAAAAGGAATTAATATACTGCCATACTACATAGAGGGACTGACCAAAAAGAAAGAAATCAGTGAAGATACTTTGCAATGGTTGAAAGTGACCTCAATTATAAGAACCTGAGCATGAGCAGAGGTGGTGAAATGAAAGGAAGTGTGATCACTGGGAAAGGAACCAAGAATGTGATAACTATCAGAATGTGTTTGTGGGTAAAATATAAGTTCCTATAGCCAGGATCCTCACCCAACCCAAAACTGCTTGATGATGTAATTGGCTTCCTGCTAGGCTAATGCTTCACACCTGTAGGCAATAGGCTATTATTGACTGAGCCATTATATTAAGAGCATTGCTCAGTGCTCCAGGAGGAGGCATAAATGGAGGTGGATTATGGACTTGCAGACTTCTGGATGAATATGGGATTGTAGTGCCCAACCTACTGCCATGAGAATAAAGCCAGGTATAAGCCCTTTTACCCCAAGAACATTCCACTGTCATTTCTTGGTCTCACTGAATCCACAGTGAACTTGCCTGGGACTGAAACCCTCAGACAAGACAAGTGGTATAGATTCATCACTTGCCTGCTGTGAAGAATCTTTGAGAACATTTTCAACATTGTCTTCTGAAGAGACAGTATTTGGTGGCTCATAATCCACCTGAAACACCTTTGTTACAATGCCACTCTGTCTGCAGTCTCTGAAAATTATTTAAAAAGAAAAAAGTCTGTTACAAATATTGAATTAAGATGATTAAAATATTGTAATTAATTTATATGTTGACATATGTTGACATATGGTAATGACACTTACCATGGTGAGAATTTAGTTGACTCAATATGTTGTACAGTATATCAATGAAATTTTAATTTAAAAATTTTTAATGTTTTAAAAGATGACTCTATTAAAGTCCCTTGGTGTAGCTATTAATTTATGTTGTTGTTTCCAATTTTTTTATGAAGGTATTATTGATACACACTCTTATTAAGGTTTCACATGAAAAAACAATGAAACAATGTGGTTACTACATTCACCCATATTATCAAGTCCCCCCCCATAAGTCATTGCAGTCAGTATCCATCAGTGTAGTAAGATGCCACAGAGTCACTACTTCTCTGTGCTACACTGTCTTTCCCATGATCACCAGCACACCATGTGTGCCAATCATAATACCCCTCAATCCCCTTCACCCTCCCTCCCAACCCGCCCTCCATTTGGTAACCACTAGTCCCTTCTTGGAGTCTGTGAATCTGCTATTTTGGTCCTTCAGTTTTGCTTCGCTGTTATACTCCACAAATGAGGGAAATCATTTGGTACTAGTCTTTCTCCACCTGGCTTATTTCACTGAGCATAATATCTTCCGGCTCCATCCATGTTGTTGCAAATGGTAGGATCTGTTTCTTTCTTATGATGAAGAGTATTCCATTGTGTATATGTACAACCTCTTTTTTATCCATTCATCTACTGATGGACATTTAGGTTGCTTCCATATCTTGGCTATTGTAAATAATGCTGTGATAAACATAGGGGTGCATATGTCTTTTTGAATCTGAGAAATTACATTCTTGGGGAAATTCCTAGGAGTGGAATTCCCGGGTGAAATGGTATTTCTATTTTTAGTTTTTTGAGGTGCCTCCATATTGCTCTCCACAAAGGTTGAAATACCTTACATTTCCACCAGCAGTGTAGGAATGTTCCACTTTTTCTGCATCCTCGCCAGCATTTGTTGTTCTTAGTCTTTTCGATACTGGCCATCCTAACTGATGTGAGGTAATATCTCATTATTTGAATTTCCCTAATAATTAGTGAGGTGGAACATCTTTTCATGTGTCTGTTGGCCACCTGAATTTTTTCTTTGGAGAACTGTCTGTTCATATCCTCTGCCCTTTTTTAAAATCAGGTTATTTGCTTTTTGGGTGTTGAGGCATGTGAGTTCTTTATACATTTTGGATGTTAACCCCTTGTCGGATACGTCAATTACAAATATATCCTCCCATACTGTAGAATGCCTTTTTGATCTGTTGATGGTGTCCTTTGCTGTACAGAAGCTTTTTAGTTTGATGTAATCCCATGTGTTCCTTTTTGCTTTTGTTTCCCTTGCTCGAGGAGAGGCACTCAGGAAAAAGTTGCTCGTGTTTATATTCAGGAGATTTTTGCCTATGTGTTCTTCTAAGAGTTTTATGGTTTCATGGCTTACATTCAGGTCTTTGATCCATTTCAGGTTTACTTTTGTGCATACAGTTAGACTATAATCCAGTTTCATACTCATATAGCTGTCCAGTTTTGCCAACACCAGTTGTTGAAGAGGCTATCATTTCCCATTGTATGTCCATGGCTTCTTTATCATATATTAATTGACCATATATGCTTGAGTTTATATCTGCACTCTCTATAGTCTATTCCATTGGTCTATGGGTATGTTCCTCTGCCAGTACCAAATTGTCTTGATCACTATGGATTTGTAGTAGAGCTTGAAGTCAGGGAGCATAATTCCCCCTGCTTTATTCTTCCCTCTCAGGATTGTTTTGGCTATTCTGGGTCTTTTGTGGTTCTGTATGAATTTTAGAACTATTTGTTCTAGTTCATCAAAGAATACTGTTGGTATTTTGATAGGGATTGCACTGAATCTGTAGATTGCTTTAGACAGGATGGCCATTTTGACAATATTAATTCTTCCTATCCATGAGCACTGGATGTGTTTCCATATATTGGTATCTTCTTTAATTTCTCTCGAGTGTGTTGTAGTTTTCAAGGTATAGATCTTCCACTTCCTTCATTAAATTTATACCTAGGTATTTTATTCCTTTTGATGCAATTGTGAATGGAATTGTTTTCCTGATTTCTCTTTCTGCTTGTTAATTGTTACTGTATAGGAATGCAACAGATTTCTGTGTCTTAATTTTGTATCCTGAAACTTTGCTGAATTCAGATATTAGATCTAGTAATTTTGGAGTGGATTCTTTAGGGCATTTTACGTACAATATCATGTCATCTGCAAACAATGACAGTTTAACTTCTTCTTTACCAATCTGGATGCCTTTTATTTCTTTGTTTTATATGATTGCTGTGGTGAAGACCTCCAGAATTATGTTGAATAAAAGTGGGGAGAGTGGGCATCCTTGTCTTGTTCCTGATCTTAAAGGAAAAGCTTTCAGCATCTCTCTGTTAAGTATAATGTTAGCTGTGAGTTTGTCATATATGGCCTTTATTATGTTGAGGTGCTTGCCCTTTACACCCATTTTGTTGAGTTTTTATCATGAATGGATGTTGTATTTTATCAAATGCTTTTTCAGCATCTATGGAGATGATCGTGTGGTTTTTGTCCTTCATTTTGTTGATGTGGTGGATGATATCGATGGGTTTTCTAATATTGCATCATCCTTGCATCCCTGGAATAAACCCTACTTGGTCATGATGAATGATCTTTTTGATGTACTTTTGAATTCGGTTTGCTAATAATTTGTTGAGTATTTTTGAATGTCTGTTCATCAGGATATTGGTCTGTAATTTTCTTTTCTTGTGATGGCTTTGCCTGGTTTTGGTATTAGAGTGATGCTGGCCTCTAGAATGAATTTGGAAGTTTTCCCTCTTCTTCTACATTTTGGAAATCTGAGGAGGATGGGTATTAGTTCTTCACTAAATGTTTAATAAAATTCAGTGGTGAAGCCATCTGGTAGAGGGGTTTTGTTTTTAGGAAGTTTTTTGATTACCAATTCAATTTAGTTGCTGGTAATTGATCTGTTCAGATTTTCTGTTTCTTCCTGGGTCAGTCTTGGAAGGTTGTATTTTTCTATAAAGTTGTCCATTTCTTCAAGGTTATCCTGTTTACTAGCATATAATTTTTCATAGTATTCTCTAATAATTCTTTGTATTTCTGTGGTGTCCATAGTGATTTTTCCATTCTCATTTCTAATTCTGTTTATGTGTGGACTCTCTTTTTTCTTAATAAGTCTGGGTAGGGGTTTATCTATTTTGTTTATTTTCTCAAAGAACCAGCTCCTGCTTTCATTGTTTCTTTTTATTGTTTTATTCTTCTCAATTTTATTTATTTCTGCTCTAGTCTTTATTATATCCCTCCTTCTACTTTGGGCTTCATTTGTTCTTCTTATTGTAGTTTCATTAATTGTGACTTTAGACGGTTCATATGGGATTGTTCTTTCCTAAGGTAGGCCTGTATTGCAACATACTTTCCTCTTAGCACAGTCTTCACGGAGTCCCTCAGATTTTGCATTGTTGAATTATTGTGGTCATTTGTCTCCATATATTGCTTGATCTCTGTTTTTATTTGGTCATTGATCCACTGATTATTTAGGAGCATGTTGTGAAGCCTCCATGTGTTTGTGGGATTTTTCATTTTCTTTGCATAATTTATTTCTAGTTTCATACCTTTGTGATCTAAGAAACTGGTTGGTACAATTTCAATCTCTTTGAATTTACTGAGGCTCTTTTTGTGGCCTAGTATGGGATCTATTCTTGAAAATGTACCATGTGCGCTTAAGAAGAATGTGTATCCTGCCACTTTGGGGTCTGTAGATGTCTCTTAGGTCCACCTGTTCTAATGTGTTGTTCAATGCCTCTGTCCCCTTACTTATTTTCTGTCTGGTTGTTCTGTAATTTGGAGTGAGTGGAGTGTTGAAGTCTCCTAGAATGTATGCATTGCATTCTATTTCCTCCTTTAATTCTGTTATTTCTTTTACATATGTAGGTGATCCTGTGTTGCGTGCATACATATTTATACATATTTATAATGGTTATATCCTCTTGCTGGACTGACCCCTTTATCATTATGTAATGGCTTTCTTTGTCTCTTGTTACTTTCTTTGTTTTGAAGTCTATTTCATCAGATACAAGTACTGCAACTCCTGCTTTTTTCTCCCTATTAGTTGCATGAAATATTTTTTCCATCCCTTCACTTTTAATTTGTTTATGTACTTGGGTTTGAAGTGAGTCTCTTGTAGGCAGCATACAGAAGGGTCTTGCTTTTTTGATCTATTCATTAACTCTATATCTTTTGATTGGTGCATTCAGTCCATTTACAGTTAGTGTGATTATTGATAGGTATGTACTTATTGCCATTGCAGGCTTAAGATTCGTGGTTACCAAAGGTTCAAGGGTAACTTCCTTACTATCTAAGAGTCTAACTTGACTCAGCTAGTATGCTATTACAAACACAATCTAAAGGTTCTCTTTTTGTTTTCTCCTCCTTTTTCTTCCTCCTCCATTCTTTGTGTATTAGGTATCATATTCTGTACTCTGTCTATTTCTTGAATGACTTTGGGGGTAGTTGATTTAATTTTGCATTTGTTTAGTAATTAACTGTTCTACTTTATTTACTGTGCTTTTATTACCTCTGGTGACAGCTGTTTAGCCTTAGGAACACTTCCATCTATAGCAGTCCTTCCAAAATACACTGTAGATACAGTTTGTGGGAGGTAAATTCTCTCAGTTTTTGCTTATCTGGAAATTGTTTAATCCCTCCTTCAAATTTAAATGATAATTTGCCAGATCTTGTATTCTGATTTGAGAACCTTCTGCATCATTGCATTAAATATACCATGCCACTCCCTTCTGGCCTGTGGGGTTTCTGCTGAGAAGTCTGATGATAGCCTGATGGGTTTTCCTTTGTATATGATCTTTTTTCTCTTTCTGGCTGCTTTTAATAGTCTGTCCTTATTGTTGATCTTTGCCATTTTAATTATT